TATGCTTCCTATTTTGCTACCTTGTCTAAAATTAAAAGATTGGGGTAGAACATGGTATCATAATCCTGAAATAGCAGATGAAACACTAATTGAAATTTTAGGACTATGGCCAATAATAAAAACTTTGAAATTATCTGCTGGAGGATAGAACATAATTTTATAGTTTTATATTTATAAACTTAAATAGTGTTTTACTTTCTATATTTAACCTTTTTTCAATGTATGTTCATATATTACTGAACTGGTGAAATGGAAGCAATGCCCATTCTCATTCTTCTTTTTTGATTTTTTCTGTTAGCTGAAACAGTATATGGAAAGGTTTAAGGAAAGGTCATTATCGTAATAATTTGGCTTGAATTAACTGCTCGTGAACAGTGCCATAGATATGTGAAGTCAAGAAGATTACACTAGAAGCTGAACACTCAGTGTGGGAGCTACATGAAGGACATAATACAGGTTATATAGATTTTAACCTTTCCTTCTTTCTTATTCTCCAGTGGTTGTACGATCTTTATTTCTGAGGTACATGCATAATGAGGACTTCCTTACTCTATGTAGATGAAGTATACTTTACAATCTTTTAGGCCCTTTTCCTTATTGTCACATGTAGCAATGTCTTCATAGTTTAAAACCAGAAAATGTTTTATCTTCTCAGCAAAGCTGGCTAGTTGCTAAGAGAGCTGAAGTTCCAAATCCAAAGACCTTCTGTGAGGGTAATTAGGCTGTGAATTTAAGTGTCTGTGCTTATAAAGGGCTTAGACATAACTTTCTGTTCTTTCATGAAACCTATTAGGAAAATTGAGATTTTAAAATCAATAAGTGCAGCTTTACTGGGGCACTTGAACTTCAAATTCAACATGTGGTCATATTGGGTTGACATATGCAATGGCCAGGTGCTATATTTTTTTTTTTTTGCTGTTGAGGCTGTTTTTTCCAGGGTTTTGTTCTTTGTCTGTAGTCTTCCCACTCATCATTTGCTTGGCATCTTAAGGTGTGGATAAAGTCTATATCCACAGGTAATGGCTAATGTGGCAGATGCCTTATACAGATAGGTGAAGAACAGTTTAAGAAATCTGTGTGGTGTGAGGATTGAAAATAAAAGAATAATTAAAGGAAAAGCACGTATTAGTAAGAGGATGATAATTATTGCTGGCTTTGAAATGTATGATAAGTCAATTCACCTTCATCAGTATGTGTCATGCAAAATTCACCTGACAAAAATGTTTCTTTATTGACTTTGTAGAATTATCATTAAGGATTCTTAAGCTGGCATGCTGACATGTTGATTTCTTCTGTTCATGTTTTTTGAACAACTTTTGTACTGCTGAAACTGATCATTCTCTCAGGTTTATCTTGATGGTTATTGGAATATGCTTACACATTTAAAAAAAAAATAAGTTATGTTTTATGTTAATTGCTGTTGATATACTAAGATGATCCCAACTTTCATTGTTGTTGATCAAGGACAAATGAACTAAGCTTTTCAAAGCTGCAATTCAGTGAAACACTCAAGCATGTACTCAACTTTAACCATGTATACTGTGCTGCAACTACCTGCTAAAAGTACACAGATGCTTAAATGTTCTGCTGGATGTAGTAACACTGAACTTTAGAGAAATATGGCATGTTTTGCTGCCTGAAGCCCTCACAGATAAATTATCTGCCCATTATTATTCAAACATGTGCTGCTGTTGCATATACCACGGCTAACCTGAGAACCCTTAGGCAGCAATGAGTCTCTGACCATAAATACTAGCCACATGACTCATGGTAACAAAAGTCAGACTGCATGTGCAGTAAAAAACAGCTCTGATTATGACAGGCTGGGTTAGAATAAATTCAAAATGATCCCAGTATCAGCCATTATCTTCTTGTTGACGCTCTGCTTTCCCATCCTTCCCTCCTCCACTGTTGGTTGTTATCATACAGATTGTCACATCTAAAATCGGTGCTTTGAGAAAAGAGCCAGATTTTCACACCCTTAGCATATAATAAAGTGCTATAAAAATACTTAATGTGATTTTTACTGTTTTAAAATATATGACGTGACAGATCATAAGAAAACCAGACCACCCCTCCTTGGCTCCTCCATTAGCTCCCTTTAACTGTTCATTTTATAGCTCATGGCAATGTAAGCATACAAATGGGGGGGATTAAAATTAGAGGCTCTATTAAAATCACTGCCTTTAATTTTGTGCAGGTTATCCGATAATTTATTTAAAAACCACAAAACAGAACAGTAATACAACACAAAAAGGAGTCCAAGTGACATGTACTTCCCTTTATCACTGTCAGTGATCACTAAAGACATTTCTTCCTCTAAGTATTCCTGTGATACCAAGTATCCAATTGGGTTAATTAGCCTCTTTTCTACCATGTATTACTCTTTGGAAATCAAAATGAAATGCAGGGCACCTGGACACCTATTGATGTGTCCCACTTTGGTGATTCTCAACAGTGAAAAATCCCTTGTAGTAAGTCAGATTGTTCAGAATCAACTTTGCTGAGGGATGAGCTTTAAGGATAAACTACAAGGTAGATAGTTAAAAGACAATTCACTTTACAGCAAAGTTATTGAGTTACAGTATTTCACTTTAAATCTTGGTTTTGTGTGTTACCTATTATTTATTTTTCTTATGAGAAATATTAAATGCATGATCTTCTTCCTAGATTTACAATAAATATGAACTCTAAACAATGACATTACTATGGCAATCATAATTTGAAGAAGCACGCCCCTCGCACACAGAACTTTTTTGCATTCAAAATTTTACAGGTTTTATTCTGTGAAGTCTGTCATGCACTTTGAAAGAAGAGTGGATTGTCTAAGGTGCAGGTTATATGCATGAAACAGACTAACCATGCTAACCTTTAAATATTTAAGATAAAACTTTTCAATGTAAAAATATGATAATATGAATCATGATAATTTCAATAGGGAATGGAGCTCTATCACAAATAGGATTAGGTTTTGTACTATTTTACAATCCAAATGCCTATTCCCAAATGTTTGCAGTCTGTATAAGGAAACCTAGGCTCAGAGGAAAGATTATCACCCCCATAAGCACTGTAAAAAAGGATGGCTACCCTGCTGATATTAATTCCACTTGAATTTTGATTCTTGCATACTACCACTTTTCTTTTATTTTTGAAAGTTGAACCTTATGAGCATCAGCCAGTCAGCAAAGGTCATAAGCATGTGTTCAGCTTTGACCTAAGTGGGAACATTTATCTGTTTATTTTATAGAGAGCTAGATGCTGTTCTGAATTATTTGCTGAATTCAGAGCCCGCACTCGTTTGCCTTGTGAATTTACCTTTTAACTTCATTAGGAAGAAGATAAGATACTCTGTCAAAGTTTTTGTTTTTAAAAAGAGTAATTAAAGTTTTCTGTCGTTCTTTCATGCTATTTCAGAACCTGGTTTATAAGACAAGGCTGGTGGCTGAGGTCAGCTGCTACGACGTTTTGCTGCTGTTTAATGTGACTTAATAAAAGTGCATTTGCTTAAAAACATAGCTTTCCCTTTTCCCCTGTGTCCTGAGTTACCAGCTGGGTTTAAACCAAGGCACCCTGTAGATACTGCATTTTTGTATGGTTGAGGCTGGTTTATTTCTGACTCTTTTTTTTTTATTAATTTTTTTCCTTAGGTGTGAAATGTTTTAAATCAGATATAGAACAGTCTGTATCCTATCAGAGTAACTGAAAATTAAAATGGTCTTTCCTGATGAGGCTGAGGTAGTGTTTCTGTTCCACCTTTTTACCTCAATCCTGGAGCAAAGCCTGTGGATCCAGATTTATCCACTATTATACTGCTCTGTTAAGTAGAGCTAAAAAATAATAATTCTATTTGAGACAGTGTGTAGTCAGCCATCACCATATTAACAAGTTTACAGTTTGGCTGCGTATTTTGATTGGATCCCAGTTGTGTAGCATTAGAGAGCAGATGTTCCTGGTGTAATCTGATAGTAATTTTTACTCTATTTTCTAATTTCTAGTCAAGGATAGATGATTTGATGAGACCAAGGCCTCTGTCAAACCTCAACCCTACTCTACCTCAAACTGATCCTTTGACCTGAAAGAAGGAACAAACAGTTCTGCAGTAAATTTGTTTCTTTGTGTGCTGTACCTTAGCTGTGTTTAGATGAATGCAGAGCACCAATAAGATCATTTTGGATAGTCTTTTTTTGTCCTTGCTAAACTTTGTCTATGGTCGGAAAATAATTTTATAGCAGATTGAAGCATACATTTTCTAATAGAAAATTGGAATAGAGGCTTGTGGGCAGTAATGAATTATAGTATGTTGAAAATGTCTGTAATGAGAACTGAGATGTAAAGGGTAATAATGAGGAAGTGGAGCTCTGAGGGCAAAGGTATCAGCACCAAACTTGGTCACAGCATGTGATAATTTAAGAATTTGTTATGGCAAACATTTTTTGCATATATTAGTATACATGCAATTGGGAAATAGAGACTGAGGTAAAATTAATTACTGGTTGTTGCTTCTATTTTATGTTGTTGCTGTTTTTTTCTTAATTGCACTAGATTGCAGTAGATACCAAAAAATGTTCTGTGCATAGGCCTTTTTAATTCTATAAACGTCTAACCTTTTGTGCAGTCTATTGGTTAAACATCAACACAGGCACATGGACCAGATGGCATTGTATTTCTCAGTCTAAGAGCAAAGAAGTCAAGGGATTTGTTCATATTAAATTATCCTCTTTCCTGACTGCTTTAACTGTTCATTATTTTAATTATCTACAAAGGTGTAATTTGTGTTTTTAATGGTACTTTTAAAGAACTTTCAATTGACTGTATTGTAAATAGATGTTAGTTTCATTATCCATATCAGTACTGTTATGATAGATTATGATGGTAACACTAACTTCTTCCTGAGATGTTAGACATTGTACTAAATAATAAAAAATAAGAGGGCATTATAGGGAGTTTCGTTGTGTCTGTGTATAATTGTGTCCTTCCTTACTTTCCCTCTGGTTTTACAGGGCACAATGACTACATGTGTCCTGCTACTAACCAGTGCACCATTGACAAGAACAGAAGAAAGAGTTGCCAGGCTTGCCGACTAAGAAAATGCTATGAAGTGGGAATGATGAAAGGTGGTATGTACACAAATCCACAAATCCTCAGCACTGGTGTCTGCCCTGTCTTTTAACTTTATTGGACAGCTGATGTGGTTCCTAAAGGAGGAAGCAACTGATTTTGTTGAGCGGAAGTGTACTAAATCAAAGAGCTGTTAAATAAAAAATAAAAACTTTTCAAATATTATGTTAATAATCTTGCCCAAATTTGCATCAAAATTAATAGAAATATTAACTTCAATGAAATTAAGATTCTTCTGTTAATATTTTTAATTTGTTATGGTTTTGGTCTCTTGTGGTAGACTCCAGATCATGATGCATGAAACTTAACACAAGATTTTGTAGCATTTGGCAGTTCAGTGTGAAAAGCACTGGTAATCTCATATCAGTCCATATTCATGAAAATAAACTTCTGAATATGTAATACTTGTTCTGCAAATTCTGGAGGGGAAAGGCAATTCCTCTATACCAGTACTGCACACATATTTTATACGTAAATTAATTTCACCCAACAATATTAAAGGCTCACTCATTTTATAAAAACAGAAAAATGCCATTTTCATGAAACATATGTAATAATGATGTCAGAGAAGAATCAAATGCTGAGGACGATGAGAGGGCTGGAGCACTTCTCCTATGAAGACAAGCTGAGAGAGGTGGGCTTGTTCAGCCTGGGGAAGTGAAGGCTCTGAGGAAACCTTACAGCAGCGTTCCAATACCAAATTGGGGCCTACAAGACATCTGGAGACGGACTTTTTACAAGGGTATGTGACAGGACATAGGGGAATGGCTTTAAGCTGTCACTGGGGAGATTTAGATCGAAGAAGTTCTTTACCACGAGGGTAGTGAGACACTGGCACAGGTTGCCCAGAAAAGCTGTGGCTTCCCCATCCTTGGCAGTGTTCAAGGCAGGGTTGGATGGGAATTTGACCAACCTGGTCTAGTGGTAGGTGTCCCTGCCCATGGCAAGGGGGCTGGAACTAGATGATCTTTAAGGTCCTTAAAGTAAATAAAATTATTTATATACCCAGGATTTAACTTTTGGATGCAAAATTAGAAATACATGACAATACTGAAGAATTGCTATGGTGTGTTCTTAGATAGAAGAGTTCTTTTGTAACATAGTTTTAGATTAATTGCAATATGTGCCTTTCTCCTCTATGTTATAGTACCTTGTGTTTGTCAAAAGTAAAGTTTGTGGTTTGTTTGTTTTGGGCTTTTTTGTTTAGTTTTGTTTTTTTTTAAAACTAAGCTCACAGTTTACAGACAAGCAGATCAGGTGCATAAATTCTGCCTGCTTCTTTAAGACCACTAATAATGGACTGAAGTCCATCACTGGTTCATAGGCAAGACTTTAAGAATATTTATTTTATGAAGTCTGGAGAAAAGAATCTTGAGATCCCTCAGTTACAGGTTATAAGTCTGGCATCCCTGCAATGAAGACATTCAAGAAGGGTAAAGATGTGGGATGAAGTAAAGCATTCAAGGTTCTGCTAGAGTCATTACCAATCCCATATTGTCCATGTAGCTATGCGAAACAGTAATCCTTTTCTTTAGGTAACACTTCATGATTGTCACCTTTCTCGGATGATAAAGGTTAAATGAATATTCTTGGTATACCATCTCCTTAACTTTTAAAGTCTTAACTTTTAAATCTTTAAAAATATTTTCAGTTGGGGTTTTTTTGTTTGTTTTCTCTTAGGAGGTCTTTTCCATTTTATAACACTTTTCTTCAACATACTTGAATCACAAAATGCTGTGATCAACTCAGGTCACATTCTCTAATATTTCATAGTCCTCTCAATTGAATCTTTGAATTTAAATCATCTTTTTTTTTCATATTGAAAGATTTGCTTTGTTTAAAGCATATCATACATTTGAAAAATATTCAGTTGTGTCATATGTAATTTCCATTTCCTTATGATGATATACCTTTTAGATATAGTGGAAAAGAGCTGTAATTTTTCTTTTTCTCTCAGTGTAATCTCAGTTTTTCTTCTGCACTGAATTAACTGAGGTTTCTTAATAAATTTTCAAAAGTACTAACTTGTGACTTTCATCTATCATTTAACTTCTGAGCAATAGCTGATACTAATTACTGAGTTTCAGTAAACATGGGGTAAAATAGGGTAAAAACTTGATTAAATGTCTCTGGTTAATTTTAAACATAGGTTATAAACTATGGTTGCTAACATTTTTTCTTATAGAAGGTCACTTAACACAGCATAAAAATGTTAGTATAATTTTTAATAGAGTGGACTCAACTGAAATATGGTTCTGGGGCTTCATTCAGAAAAAATGCAGGCTTTAAGTGTCTCTTAAGCTATGCTGTAGGAACACTCATTTCTGAGTTTCTGTGGAAATTTTTTTATTTTATTATTCCACTGTTCTTTCATTTTCTAAAAAATTCTTTTAGTACTGAAGAGTTATTTTCATTCTCTCCTCTTATGTTTGCAAGTGTTTTCTTCTGTGTCTGTTACTGTGCTGCTTTGAGAGATAACTGGAATGTTAGAATCTCTGCTGATATAGTCAGCATCTGAAGCAGAATTTATAGCCATTATATTTTGTCCAAAGGTTTCAATCTCTCTGACTAAAACAAAAAGACCTTAAAATTATATGTTATTGCGTGGTCTGTGCACCCCTTTTTGTGTGTAAGGATAAAATGGTTACATGGAATAAGCTCCTTGTCATGTCCCTCTTTCTTCTCATTGGATAGCAGGGAAGGGTAACCTTGGTTTTGTTTATGATCCACTGATGCTTTCTTGAAGATTGTTTCTGTTCTGGAGAATTATATTCTAGCTTATTATTTCATGTGATGAGGGCAGGGGCCCAGCTTCCAAATGGAGTTTTTATAGCAGTAGCAATGCTGAAGCTCCAACCATGTCTATAGTCCAGGTCTTTGTCTTCTCCAATACAAATCTACTTTTCTATTTCTTCATTGCTTTAATGGCTTTCTGATGACTTGGCTCAAAGGACTTCATTGTCTGAAATAAAAATCACCTTATTTTTATTGTTATTTATTAATTAAGTATTTTTATACTGTGGTAAATTAATTATTATTAGCATGCTACATTCTTCCCGTCCTTTCATGAATGGCAAAGCAGATTAACCATCAAGTGCTCTGTGCGATCAGAGCAACAGAGTGCCAGTGGAATTAGTGGCTGGGCCAAAAGTTTGCCATAATGTTGAATGATAGATCCTTAATGAAAAATCAGTTGTGTGCCTGCTAGTCCATGTTTAGCCACCCTGAGATTTACATAGTTCTGGCAGTTGTTGAATGCTGATGATTTACCAGCTTCAAGTTGTGTGAAATGTGGCGATCGAGAATTTGAGTGTTCATGTACTAGATCCAGATGGTGATTATGTATGTGACCTGGGGGTATTTACTGTCTTTGAACAGCCTGAAATTTCATTTGTAGAGAAAAGATTCCAAGTTCTGTTTCTTGTGATAATGAAATTACAGCATTCCAGCGCATTTGAAGCCTACACCCTTCAGTGTTGCCCTCACAAAGTATCTGAGAACCCTTCAGAGATTATTGCAGTACAGCCCAGGAAATACAAGTCTGTGTTTGCCGTAACATTGTGCTTTCCTGCATGGAAAGTGCCTGTAGGAATGTACATTAACTCATAGTGATTAGAGTTTAGAGCTTGGAGGTTTTCAGTTTTCTTTTACATTCTCTTGAAATAGTTACCTACCAGTAACAACATGGGAATTCAGTCTGATTCAGTGACAATATTGCTGGAGTTTAAGACTAAGTTTTACAGGGAAAAGAAAAAAACATTCATCAACTTTTGCATCCTCTCAGAGAGGGACCTTGCTGATTTTTGTCTTTGAATGTAGAGAGCTATGCTTCCTTGCTGAATGCTATATTTGTTCATGCTAAGAGGCTAGAGAGCTATTAAAATCATTCTCAAAAGCAGAGGTAAATCGATGTCTGATGCAACCACTGGAAGGGCTCCAGACATTCTAGTTCGCCATGTCATTATCTTTTAATGAAATATTATATTAAAAATAGGAATTAGTGAATGAAGGAAAATATATTAACAATATGAAACTATTTTGGTTAGCCTGTGGACAACCTTTATGATATTTATTAGACATACTGTTCTGTACTCGGGCGCATAACTGTGTAGGTGGGGCCTGATAAATGTATGAGGAAATGTATGTTTTTAAGATGTAATTGATGGGCTGAAAACGTGTACTCAAGCTGCATTTGAAGCAAAGTTTTGTGAGTTTAGAACAACCTTCTGGAAAAGAAGATGGAATTGAAACCAGACTTTTCAGTGAAATGTTTCTTTTCCCCTTTTGTACACATGCAAAGTGTATTGTTGCTGTTGATTTGACCCAAAGTACAATATTCTATGGTTCTGTCCCCACAATAAGAGAGACCATTGCTGTGAACACTTTTGCCAAAAATTCTTTATCTTCCTATTCCACTGCACAGAATGATCTGGGCTAGAAGGAACTCCAGGAGGTCTCTTGTCAAGCTACCTGCTCAAAGCACTTTCAATGCTGAATTTAAACTAGGTTGTTTAAGGCCTTTGATATTCAGGTGGAAATGGGACAACCTGTCTTATGCTTATTTATGCTATAGGTAGTTATGTAAAATTTTTTTTAATACTGCAGAGTTTTTGATATTTTACTCTTGAACTCTTGTTTGAGATTGTAAACCTAATTATATCTGTATACATGTTTACATTTGCTTTTTGCCTTTTGTATACTTAAAAATTCCTAATAAGGAATTGTTTTAGTTGTGATATTACTTGGGAATAGATACAGCAATGAAACAGTCCACATTTAAATTGCTGATTAATTTTAAATGAAGTCTAAGATCCTTGCTGTGTCTCTACCTCTTACTGCCACTTGTTCGTATCACAGGTACCTCAGGGTGTCACTGTGCATTCACTGGTTTTGAGAAACCTATGCAGGTCAGACAGTTGTTGTCTTCTTGCTGAGCTTCAGAATCCTAGAGTACTAGAGTTTCTAGTGCTTGACATGGTTAGGCATTTACAGTTCAATT